AAAAGTTCATACTTTGAAACGTATTTGGAGTAAGGCACGATGCAGACCGTCGAGTTTCTTAATAACAAAGAAATAAAATCATTACGCTGATTTCAACCCCATCTTTTTTTCTCTTTTTTTTCATATATATAACTCCAAATAAAGAGAAGAAGAGAAAGACGACAATTTGTTGATTTGAGAAGACGACCACTTTAGGCGACCGTTTTCTTCGTCACTCCGTGGATTCCGTGGAATCTCAGAATGAATGAAGGAAACCACTCTCTTAATTTGGTCGAAGCCCATCGATTCAACGATCGTACCTGTGAGAGAGCCAGATCTCTGCGCGGGACAGCACAATAAATTTCTACCTCCTCTGCCCTTTCTCTCTCTTCCCCTACTTTTACCCCAAAGGTAGCTCTTTCCACGGGTTTTTGACGCCCGTGTTCGTCTTATCGCGACACGCGGCACCCCTCAATTAAGAGGTGCTGCTCGTCCACGAATGTTATACCAAAGATCTGTGGGACTTCAGGATCTCTGGGACCACACAGCGGGAGCTACCTGCTCGGGTCTAACCTATCGGCCGAATCGCGCTCATAAAAATTAAACATCGCCAGATAAATAAACGTCAATCGGAAATTAAGATAGGCGCCGCCGGTAGCGTGGTATCCGCTTTTTCCTTCTCTTTCCTCACCCATTCCCAAGAGGCATCCGTTAAGAATTTTTTTCCTAGAACCAGCGTCCGGAGTTGCGAACGATAGATAAGCGACATCGACCTCTCAACGTCCTTCAACTTTTCGATTTGGAACCCCAAAATGACATACATACGAGATATATTTTGGCTTGTTGGTTTTTGTACCGTATGTAACTATGATCTCGAATATTTGACATAATCGATAACTCCTGCACTTGTAACTCCTACACGGTACCTCCTGTGTTAGAAAAAGATGACGATTTTTTCCAAAGTAACCAACAATAAATTCAGCGAAAATTACATTAGGAATGCGAACACACATTGCTAAGTTATTTTTTCTAATGTTGTCACACATATGTAATGCTGCAAAAAATTTTAAACAAAATGAAAAATAAAATAATTTTACTAACTACTTTTCGTAATATCATATTACATTACATTATTCTTAAAACTATTTGTGATACAATAGTTAAAAATATTTACAATACAAAGCAGGTATGTAATGGTCTATATTTATTTATCAATGTGCTACTTTCACAACACGAGCTTTTCGCAAATGCGGTCACAGATATAAATACTAAAACTACAATTGTCTAACATACTGATACTTTTCTCATCAATCTGTGCCATTTTTGCTGTCAGTAACGTATTCAGAAAGAACCGTACACATTGTTGTAATTAAGAAACAAAGATTCTACATATAAAATGTACAAATCACAAGTAGTCTAAAACACTACTACAGAAAAATTGAATTAAGTAATAAATAAATCATAAAGAGAAACTTAAAGTACTAGTAGATATTCGTGCAATATAAAAAGAAAAATCAAATAAGATATATTTTATATTTTTTTTCTCTATTAAAATACTAATATATGATTCTTAATTAAATGATATATATTACTGGCTATATATCGTATTTTGCATTCCAATTGATTCTCAGGAGAAGTTTAATCAACACTTCAAGTAGCATCCCGCTGTCTCATCCTGCGCGTAATATTACATACTACGTTAATTAGAATTCAATTAAGGTGCTGATGCGTTCAAAATTGAACATTACGCGTCGTTAATCTTAGGTATTACCGCGCGTTCGAGGACGCGTCGATTTTATTTCGAGCGAAGTCACGCGGAGCATATCAGTGTTGTCGAGATGCGTTTAAGTGCAATTTGTATTCGATTATTCCATCAACTTATACCGCTTAGCCAATCTGATCGTAAGACAAGATATTATGAAATATATCACGAGAAGTATTGTAATTAAATATCGAAACTGCAGGTTTTCCATTTTTGTACATCTAATATAGATCTCGTAGTTTTCAAGTATCTTAAAAAAAAGATTCTATTAAATATAACTTAATATTTGCATTATTTGCTTATGTAAATAAATGTTTATTACTTTGTACATAAATGTTTATTATTTTGTGATATGCTATTTTATATATAAAAAAGAATTATATATATATACACACGTATATATGTGATAGTTGCAAATAATATTGCAGACAATTTTATTTTATAAAATAACAAAATAAATAGAAAAAATTATTGCCTAACAAAATAATGTAAAACATGCCTTTACGACAGCAAATAACAGTATTCATAAATATTTCTCTCTCTCTCTCTCTCTCTCTCTCTCTCTTTTATCTATCTATCTATCTAAATATTTCTGGACATTTTAATATCCAAGGATATAAGAAAGCACCGAGTGCGATGCTAATTCTCTTAATTAAACGATTACTTTTTTTATTTGGTCTGACGGTTTCGTTAATAATATACTATCTGTTGCATCTCACGATCGAATGGCGGTCGTCAGGCATCTCTGGCGGTGTCATGCTTAATTCAATCATCCATCGTCAAGCGCGAATTCCATGCGCGCGTCCGCGTTTTAATATCTTACCTGAGTGGCTTCCGACGAACCTGCATCGAATCACGGATCGATAGAATTGACGGGGCAATCTATAGATCGCAAAAGGGAACACGAGAGAGAAAGAGAAGAGTGAGAAGAGAAGGGAGAAAAGAAATCAAAAGATGATCGGCTGCGGTCCGTCGTGGCAGTGAAGCTTTAATTAAGGGAACATATTGCCACTAATATCTGACGGACAGTGTCAATCTGTCAGGCTACCAAAAGACACCGATCTGATAGCGGACGCTAGAATCAGTACAGTCTATTGAATACATTGCCTTCGATTTAGTTGTCGTAGCTAATCACCCGAAATTAATATATTAGACAGCTAATCGAGTGAGAACGAGTCGTGCGGACAGCTTCGTCGAACGCGTTTCGGGTTTAAGTTTACAACGAGAAAGAGAATATATATAGTTGTGTGTTTAACGAGAAAGAAGATATATAGCTGTACCTTGAGTATATATAAAAACTGTCTTTAGAGTAAAAGAAATCTTTTTTTAAATAATCAATATAAAAAATAGGAAAGACTTAATACGTATGTTTGAATTATAATATAACGGGAAAAATAATTTATAAGTTAATAATCTTGTGTATTACTATATATATAATATATATTTGCTCCTTTAGTTTGCTAGCTTTTATTAGTTCCACAAAATTCTTGTTTTATGTTTCAGATATACAACAATCATTTTCACTTTTGATATAAAACAAAAAACTTAAAAAGTTGTAAAGGATAAATTTTTTAGCAGATAATACAATAATACACAGACATGAGGACATAAATGTTCTATAACAACGTAATTCGTTGAACTTTTTATTTCATACATGTTCACTTGAATTGGTAAATATTCTCGTTGTGGCAATGGCAATCGCATTATCATCATTATCATTATCACTATCATTATTGTTGTTATTGTTGTTGTTAGAATACTACGACCTGTTGCTATTTGCTGTTCCACCTCATAGTTTGATCTCGTAGACGTCAAAATGGTGCCGATAGTTAAAAACATTATCTTCCTTTTTTAGCCACTAAACATCTACAAGATATTCCATCAAAGTTAATTTTGAAATAATTAATTAATTACCACTTCTTTGTTTGTAATTCTGGCTTAAAACTAACGTAAAAATTCAGACAAAATATAAAAAAATTACTAGCTATTTCTAATTATATTAAGTGTTACACTTAGTTTTGAAGGTTAATAAAATTAAATTTTTATATCTTTCCGTAAAATGTAAGAATAAATACACATATATGTGTTAAATAAACCTGATGTGAAAACTTAACATAATTCAAATATAAAAATAAAATAATGCAAAGAAAACAATATTAAATGATATGGTATCATTTTCCATCCGAATAATGGTCGATTATCCTCTAAATGAAAATACAAAGCTACTATTGTAGTGCAGCGTATTTTACGATCATTAATACGCTCAAATCGGTATAGAGTGGTCAATATCAGACAACACTACGAGGTTCCTTAAAGAGCTCCGCACGTAGAAAGGTCCTTAAAAGTCCTATAAAAGGGTAGCCTATTCTGGAGGTGTGCTGATCGGGCACAAGCATTTAATCGTAACGAATCGCCCTCAAGACCCGTAGGGGAGTGTGTAATCGACATCCGGTTCGCCTAATATCGAACGAGTAGCGCCCTGTAATCTGCCGCTAGTGTGTGCATTGTCGTGCGCGGAGCCCTTTCTCGCTACTGAAAGAAGCTTCATGGGACTCAGGATTCTTTTCTCAACGAAAGAGAACGAAAGCCATGGAATAGCGTCTGCTCTCGACCTTGCGTCCGTGAATCACAAATAATGCGACTGGATTCACGTGATTTACGTGATCGAGGAGTTGACATGCACAAAAAACTGCGAAGCTAAGTCCGCATGGACTTTAAATACTTCTACTAATATATTATAAAAAATGAAGAAAAATGCTTTTTTTCCACAAAATATATGTATATTAAATATATGTATATTGAATATATGTATGTTAAAAATCTTAGGAATACATGCCTATTTTGCTGAATTAATCTATCAAAAACTAAACAATAAATAATAACCTACAACAATTATTGTAAAATGGTCTAAACAAACCTGAGCTATATTTTCTCAACAATAATTTCTCTATAACGAGAACAAAAAGCTTATTTATCAATTTAACTTTTTCGCTCTAAAAGACGTATATGTACGTTTTCGAAAAATGAACATTTAGATATAAAGAACATATATGTTATTATATTATTTTATTTTACAAGTTTATATAGATCAAAAAACGCAATTGTGCGTCTTATTAAGCACTCTGTATATCAATGTCGAGTTGTCAGCGACGTCCACAGAGATCATATTTTGTCACGCAATGAAGCGAAAGAATTAATTATTTTTGAAAGTAATAATAATATAATTATTATATAAATTTATATACAACTCGTGACTTACCATGAAGCAGAATTTTCTTGAGCGATCTTCTGATAGTCGTGCAATTCCATCTTCGATTTCGGAATTGATATTGACATTCCTTAGTTCCTACTTGAATACCTTTCGCAATTTCTTTTAAGAGAGACGGTTCTTTGCGACAAATGTCAGCAAGCTTTCCTTTTAGCCTCCTCGTTTTTTTGCAGACAAGCATTGGGTCCATCACCAATTGACTTCCTACGGTCCTGTAAAGATAATAAAAATATTCCATTAAAAATATATTATTAATTAGTCAATAGTTTTATTATACTATAATAAAATTAATATAAAATTACTATTATCAAATGTGCGTGCGTGTGTATGTAAAATTTTTGTATCTGTTCACATCTGCAATATCGCTAGTAAAACAATTAATGATTAAAAACGGTCAAATATAATACATGTAATCTCCTCGAAAAAGTTCAAAACAACTTCAACGCGAAGGAATATAAAATAAAAATGCCTTTGCGTCGTTTTAATTGATCTATGTATTTGCGCTGGAAGCGAACTACATCGCGCAAACCAAACCTCATGGAGAGCAGCATCGTTTCCTGAACACGACACGCGCTGAAGAGAACGGTCAGAATAATTTACGTAAGCTACAAATCTCGCGGCGTGACGTCTACCAAGTTGCTAGTTATTTAGTATCGCGCAATATCTTTTTGCGTGCGATATAATGAAAAAAAATTGGTCTCGTGCGAGAGCAAAATTAAGCGGACGTTTTTTTTCTCCGAGATACGTCGCTTATTCGTTTCTTCTAGACTTTCTAGGAGATAGTACAGCGTTTGCAAGTATTGTGTCTTGCGACTCATTACTGATCCTCGCGATTAATCGCTCGCGTTTGAATCAGAATTTATTTCTCCTTACGCACACACCATCGTGTCCCATAAATCAAATCAAGTTTTGCTGCAGAAAATCATCCTGTTAGCATTGTTTCGGTGCAAGAAATTTATCGTGCTCAGCATATTTTTAGAGAAAAATTTTTTATATGTGGTCTGTATGAATATAATTAATGCTTTGGAATAAATTGTATAATTAGATCGACAAATACAAAAAAATAATATTAGTACAATATATAATGGATTCTTACAAAGATTTCACTTACTTGTGTGGTGTAATACTTGTGTTATTTTAACGTCTGTAATTTATTACGACAATGACAACTGAATCATAGTAATTGTATTGATGTCATGCAATTATGGTCAATGCAGTATACAATTATTACACCGAGAAATTCTATGATAAGTTTTTCTTTCAAAGATTTTGCTCTTCCTTTTTTTACATTCCGGATTTATATATCTTCAACATCATTCAGTAAAAAACTTTATCACGATAGTTAGTGGCGTATGTAAAAAGTCATCTCATTCTCTGACATTTCTAGTTAGAGTTCCTGCTCTATTTTAAAGAAACCACAAAACGGCGAAGAAGATGACAAAAAATAGCAAACCAGAATCGTGATATGTACATATATCTCCCACAAAGTCGGGAAACGTTGTCAAAACAGAAGAACAAAAATTTGCAGTATTTTGGCAAAAACAATGACAGATAGGAAATCGAAAAAAAAGAGAAGAAAAAAAATGATTACGTCGCGAACAGTACGTACGATACTCTCAAATCCTGAACACGCTAACACCATTAAGTTATGGCGCATGATTATATGATATGATTTATAGCAACATATCTAATACCACGAATCGAAAAGAAATATATAGAAGAGAGAAGAAACAAAGAAATAAGACGCTCTAGAAACAGAAAAAAAGAACAAATGAATATGGCGAGAGTGTGAAAAAAAGAGATGAAATATAGGAACATAGCAGAAAGAGAAAGAGAGAGAGAGACAGAGAGAGAGAGAGAGAGAGAGAGAGAGAGAGAGAGAGAGAACAGTCAGATGATTACAGTGAAAACAAAAGAAGAATGGATATAGAATGAACTCCGAGTGAAGAAGCAATGTGAACTATGAAGACGAGAAAGACGACTCAAAGGCAAAAGAGCACTATGAGAATGACGAAGAAAAGGAAGAAGCGCGGAAGATGAGCACAAAAGCGGATTTGTAAAAAAAAAACGATGGGAAGAATTAGAGAAAAGAGAAAAGAAGAGAAGAAGAAGAAAAATAAGAAGAAGAAGAAGAAGAAGAAGAAGAAGAAGAAGAAAGAGGACAGTCCGAGCGACCTTCGTTACGAAACGTTAATTAAGATCATTAGTTCTGCGTCGATAGAATGCCGGGGTGCGTACACGACGGCCTCTCGGGAATGCAACGACCTTAATGGCAATAATTCCGTTAAGGACGGTTGCTCGCGCGCTCGCCGTACATCGTCGATGTTGCCCTCACCCGATCTTTCCCCTCACGTTTTCGTTCTGCACGAACGTGAATAAGAAGCTGAAGGTAATACGACGCGTAGAATCGTGCACGAGAAAGTAACATTGTCATTTGGGTGAAGAGGCTTCCTATCTCGAGCTGCGACTGTAATCGAGAATCGAGCAAGAACAGCGTTACGTGAACGAGAATTCGCGAGAAATCCTCTGATCGAGAGATCGAAGAGCGATTTCGTGAGTGAAACGATGATGGAGAAAGGCAAAGGGAAGGACAAGAAAAAAGAAGAGCAGCGTCGCTCTTGCTTGCGGCAAAATATGGCGCATGTAACGTCTCGCGGGACGATCAGACTTACTGACAGAGTACAAGCGGCAGGAACTTCGACTCGTCGATATTCCAGTCAAGGCTCTCTGTCTAGATAGAGTCGACAGGCAGACGCGACAAGCATCGAAGCTTCTTCAATCGTTTACGAGATTTCTTCCTGCCAGAAAACGCTAATTTACCGCTAATTTATTATGAAAATACTTTTATAAAACATATTGCTCTATAGAATTATATGGAATGTTTAGCTTTTCACAAGAGATATTGGTTGGTTTGCTATTCTCTCATGTATTTTGTCGGATCAAGACCAGCTGTTAGAAGTTGCGGATTTGCCTTCCTGGAACTAACACGCATGTACTATTTCTCGGCTGAGCGTCAATCTGCACAAGAATGCAACGAAACATCTAGGCGAGATAATAAGATAATAAGATAATAGACGAGTGACATAGATATAACTCTTCAAAGAAGTATGCGAAATTACGTTTGTACAAAAGAAGTTAAACATTGTATTAAACATAGGTTTTTTATTGTGATAAGTCATAAAAGTGATGATGTTTATGAGAAAAGGTAAAAGTAGAAGTGGATACGCCTGTGGGGAAGATAGCAAACATTTACACGTAGCTTTATATATGGCTTGTGCAAATAAATTTTCAATTCTCGACGTTTTATGCGAATCTTAAAATATTTTCTTTTGTTTACATTTTAGTGATAACGATATAGATATATAACTCGATATATAATATATACTAAGATAGACTAAATTTATAAACAATTTCTGTATTTTTAATAAATCTCCGTATCTCTCAAAACGATATTTGTATTTAAATAAGTCGATATGTCAATAAATAAATATGTCAATGTTTGGCATAAATTTTATGACTTCCAATCAATTACAAGAACGATTTATGTCTTAGAAACACATGGCCTTTAAAATTTAAAGATAGTTTCCGATGAATCAAAAATGCAAAACAAGTTAAAATAACTGTACTTCGCAAATTCTCATCATCGCATTGCTCTAGTTTTTAATTATTCGATAACATCTAATAATTAAAATAACTGATAATATCTCTATAATTTTCAACTTTCCGCCGGAAGAGAGAGCACGCCACGGCGCGCGCGAATAGAAGTTAGAAATCAACCTTCAATAGAAGGTTTATCTGACCTTTTGACTTCAAAGACCGTTTCCTAATGGCCGCGCGAATCTCACCCCGTTAGTCAAATAAACGGCAGGACTGCTGTGCGTCGATACTAAAAGACCAATCCCCGAGGCGGATAATAAAGTTACGACGTTATTGCAAACACGTCGTGTTTGATGAGCGCCGCTTACGCGGACGTTTTACACCCGCGCCTATTAATATCGCCGAAGGCGAGTTAATGGGAATTGGAGTGGTCAGGAAAGCTACGTTGCCATTCGTCTTCCATCTGCCGATTGCGATTTCGTAACTTTCTAGGATGTAACATTTGCAAACTTAATTTGCTTCATTCAAAATAGCAGTCAAAAGCACGACAAATAAACTATTAAAATATATATATATATATTTGAGACATGTATAAAAACAAAGAAAAGTATATATATAGAAATATATATATAAAAAAAATATATACATATATATATTTGACATGTACAAAAAGTAAAGAAAAATAGATACATATGCATATATACTTATAAAAAACCTAAAATCTTTAAAACGTTACTATTTCATCAAAAATCAAGTACTTAAATATTAAACAAAATAAATAAATATCGTCTCCTATACAGTTGAAGCAAAATTCAACGAAAAACGCACCGAATTTAAATGCACAACAGGTTTAACAGTCCCGTCAATCGTACGTTTGTGATTTTTTTGCGAGGCGTCCTTCGTAAAAACACTCCGCGAGACTCGCTACTAGACGGAAAAACGAGACAAGACTCGGTATAATCGACGACAATCGAGTGAGAGCGGAACGTCAGTGAAAAGAAAAGAGTTCCGAAGTTAGAACCAAGAAGATGGGCCTCACCTCGCGTACACGGAGGCAAGAAAAGAACTTGGGGATGGACACGTCGTCGAGAACGAAAAGCGTGGAGAGGCCGGTTAGGACGGTCGACTTATTTATTGCCTCATTAGACGCCCTCACTTTGCTCGAAGGCAGCTCCACGCTGTCTGCTCAGATAGACAGTGACGAGAGAGCAACGTTTCTGGCCTCTTTCAGCTGACTGGTTTACAGAACGAACAACGAACAGAGAGAGAAACAGGATGAAAGAAGAAGGTTGTATAGTAAGGAAAGAAGAAGGTTGTATAGTAAGGGAAAGAGAGAAACATTCTATATAGAGTAGATGAGAAAGAGAAAAGGAAGCACTTCGACGAGCAAGTTTGCGAGAAGAAACCAGATTGGAAAAAAGAAGTTGATAAGTTACTCCGGATTCCTTAAATATTATGTATATTATGTATGTAATATTACATACATAATAGTCCAAGTGTGTGTGTGTGTGTGTGTGACAAAAAAATAAACCACTATCGAAATTAGAGATAGATTGTATGTCTGAGAAGTTTGGTGCGTATGTGAAACTTCTTCAAAAAAACACAATATGATTCT